ACTTCTATCTGTAGATTAGGGAGGCAGACCACAACAAATTAACCAAAGGGAATAAGACATTCATAAAGACAATAAAAAGCTTACATATATTCCTTGTGAATCTACAAGACTGTGTGCTTGCCCATAGCTGTGTGTGTGCTCAAGAATGACTTAGCCTTAAATATCACCTCTAGCTGACCTTAAGGTTCTGTGCTAGCAAAAAGTACCAGGTTAGGGTGGAATTATCAATTGCTAGGCTAAGTATTAATGGCATACACCAACAAATACAGAACCTCTTAGCAACCAAAAGCCTCCCTTGGTAACAATTATCAGCTAGCCACTTAATGAACAAACTCTAATGGGCTAAACAGGACAATGATAGAGACTATACAGAAATAATTTGGTGCGGAAAAAAAAAAATCACAAAACAAACTACAACTTGCAACAAGAAAATAAATCTTGAAGACAGAGATCTGATTCCCAAGTTACATTATCATAGTTAAAATGTCCAATTTTCAATTAATAAAAGTGTAAGGCATGAAAGTAAGAAATAAGGCCCATAAATAGAGCAAAATGGTAATCAATAGAAAGGGTCCCAGAAAAAGCACTAATGTTAGACTTAAGGAAAAAAAACTTTGTATCAGCTATTTACCAAATGTTCAGAGAGCAAAAGAACACCTTATCTGAATAAAGAAAAGACAGTATCTCAAGAGAGTGAATTTATAAAAATGAAACAAACACATATAGTAAAGTTGAAAAGTACAAAAACTGAAATAAAAAATTCACTAAAGGACCATAAGAGCAAACTGGAGGAGGCAGGAAAAAAGGACCAGGAACTTGAAGGCTGATAAGCTGAGATGTCCTAACCTAAGAGCAGTAATAAATAATAAAGAAAAGTGAATAAAGGCTAAGAGATCTGTGAAATGCCATCACATAAAAACATATAGAAAATGAGAGTTCCTGAAAGAAAGAGGGCAAAAAAGATCCAGGAAAAATATTTGAAGAAATATAGCTTTAAACACTCAAAATTTATTAAAAAATATTAATCTATGCTTCCCTGAAACTGATGAACTCCAATCAGGATAAGCAAAGATACAGTTTAAAAGATCATTACATAAACCTGTAATTATGTTGTACAATATATTGATGACAACACAATACAAGAAGATGTAGTTTATAATTTTATACATAAAAGTGTAAGGGAGATTGACGCTATGTAAGAGATAAAATTTTATCTATTATTAAAATCCAGTTGATTTTCTAGTTGATTCAAACTAGAGTTTTCCAGAATTAAAATGCTAATTGCAGTTCCCCAGGCAATAATTATGAAAATAAATCTGAAATTTACAACATGTGAATTAAAGAAATACGCATTTACACAACAAAGAAGTCATTGACAAAGAAACAGAGGAATACAAATATATATATTTGAAAACCAAAATGACAGTTCCTTCTTAATAGTAATTAAATTGAAATACAGAAAATAGTAGAATAAAACAAAAAAGAGCATATCAAGAAACACAGAAAAAGGGCCAGGGATATAGCTCAGTGGTTCCAGCACCTTCTTTGCAAGGACAAGGTCCTGAGTTTGATCCCTGGTACCAAAAAGAAGAGAAGGAGAAGGAGAAGGAGAAACACAGAAAAAGCAAAGACAAACAGAAAAAGCACTTTCATGTCTGAAAGGCACTCAATAAACTAGGATTAGAAGGGAATTTCTGTTAACTAGATAAAAGGTGTCTAAAGAAAAATTCTTAACTTACAATGAAAGACTGAAACCTTTCTCCCTGAACTGTGAAATAAAGATTTCTGCTCATACACTTTGAACTAAACTTACATTGAAAGTTCATTAAGTAAGCAAAGTATCCTGGTCTATATTTGCAGATGATATGATCCTACACAGAAACATTATAGAATCCAAAAATAATACAGCTTATAATTAAGTCTGCCAAACTTCCAGAAAACAAGGTTAATGTGCCAAAGTCATGGGTATTTCTCTACACTACCAAAGAATGATCGGAAAATGAAATTAAAAAATTGAATTCACACTAACATCAAAAATGGATTAAAATACATAAAAATAAATTGATTCAAGAAGTATAAAACTTGAATACTGAAAACTACAAAACAGCATTGAAAGAAATTTTAAAAGACCCAAATAAATGGAAAGACATCCTTGTGCACAAATTAAGAAGATTAATAAGACCGTGTCTTAGTTCATTCTAACTGCTATTACAGAGTATTATAGGCTGAGTCTTCTGTCGTAAACATCAAGCAAACATTTATCACAGTTTTGCAGGACAGAAAATGGAAAATGAAGGGAACAGCAGATCCAGTGTTTGGTGAGGGCCCAACTTCTGGTTCACACACTTATATGACAATAAAACCAAGAAAAGCTGGTGCTGTGCCCACATGTGGCAGAGGAGCGAAGGAATTCTCTGTACTCTCTTTTATAAAAGCACTAATTCCACACGAGGTCTCAGCCCTCATGACATGATCACCTTCCAAAGTTCCAACCTCTCAATATCATCACATGGGGTCAGAATTTCAACACATGGATTCTCAGAGGACACAAACATTCTGTCTTTAGCTGATGATAATAACTGCCAAATTGATTTACTGATCCCATGCAAATCTACACAAATTCCAACTACCTTTATTATCAGAAATCGATAAGTTGAAAACAGATTTGATATGGAAGTCAAAGGACCCCAGACACTCAAAACAATCTTATAAAAGGAGACCAAAAAAAATTCATATTTCTTGGTTTCAATCTCACTACAAAGCTATATTAATCAAGACAGTGAAGTACTGGCATAAAAAAAGTTATACAGATCAGTGGACATAGAATTAAGTGTCCAGAAATAAACGAACACTATGGCCAAAGGATTCTCAACAAGGGTAACAAGATTACTTAATAAAGAATAGTCTTTTCAATACATGGTACTTGGAAAATTGAGTTATCTATGTGATAATCTTTCAAAACAATAAATATGAGCCCTAACTTCATGCTATGTAAAATAATTAACTTGAAAAGGACCAATGATTTAAATGTAAAACGTAAATTTCAAAATTCCTAGAAGCACAGTGTCAATCTCATGACACTGAATAAGCTATTGTTCCTTAGACACATCAAAAACACAAGCAACAAAAGAAAAAATTAACACATTACATTCGTTAATATTTAAAATGTTTGTGTCAAAGACACTATTGAGAAAATGAAAGGACAACCCTCAGAACAGAACAAAATATTCTTAAATCATATTAGGATAAGGATCCAGGAAGAAGGATCTCGTGTTCAGAATATTTTTTTAAATCTCACCAATAAAAACATAAATAACCAAACCAAAAATGAAAGATTTGAACACACATTTCTCCAAAAATATACAAATGACCAATAAGCACATGAAAATATGTTCAAAATCATCTGTCACTAAGGAAGTGCATATCAAAACCACAATGAGATACCTCTTGACACACAACAGGATGGATATAATTTTCAAATGAGAGAAAGAATAGTAGGAATATGAAGAAACTGAAACTGTCATACCTTGCTACTGGGAATGTAATATGGTACAACCACTATGGAAACAATTTGGCTTTTCCTTAAAAAGTTAAACAGAGTTAACAAATATCCCATCAACTAATGAATGGATAATAAAATGTGGTATAGCCATAAGATGGAATATTGGTAAAAAGGAATAAAATATATGCTATGGGAATGAAACTTGAAAATATTATTTAAGTCAAAGAAATAAATGGTCACATATTACATTTGGTGATAAATGTCCAGAACAGTGAAATCTATAAAGCCAGGAAATATATACATGCTTGCTAGGGGATAAGGAAAGAGAGAAAGTATGTAGTTTCTTTTGGGGGTAATGGAATTAGTGGTGATGTTAGTGGAATATTATGAATATATTAAACACCATTTGCATTAGTCAGATTTTTCGTTCCTGGGACAATACACTTGGAGAAGATGTTTATTTTTGCTCACGGTTTCAGAAGGTTCAGTCGATGGTTGCCTACAAGGGCATTGCAAAGGACAGCTGCTCTCAACCGATGACAGCCAGAAAGCAGAGACAGAAGGGAGGAGCCAGCGACAAGAATACAGTCTTGTAGATCACATCCCCAGTGGCCTTCCTTTTCCAACCAGATCTCACTGCTAGCTGCATATTCAGCTATGAACCGAATTAGTCCATGGACTAATCTGCTGATGAGTGTAGCACCCCATGGTCAATCACCTTCCAATACCCCTTCAAATACCCTTCTGAACACATGAGAATTGGGGGGGGCATTTATATCTAAACCAAAACACCATTTAACTGTTAACTTTAATTTTAATGTTATATGAATCCTATCAGTAAGAAATTACCAAAAAGGGGGAACTTTTGAAACTGAATGATTTTCCCCAAACTGCATTATACACACAGATTCTTATTTCCACATTTTCTCAACAATGTCCCAAATTTGTCAGTTAATTTAGCATGTTTGGAAATCTTTCTTACGATTCTCCTAAATGCTATAGTATCCTTCTCCTAACTAGCATAGGCCTACACTCTCCTACTTATATTATGCACTTTATTTTATTTTATTTTGGTACTGGGGATCGAACTTGGGTCCTTGCGCTTGCACAGCAGGCGACGAAACCACTGAGCTAAATTCCCCGGCCCTGTATTATGCATTTTAAATTGTAGTTTTAAATAAACACTGTATAAGCATCCTTAGTATTTCCCCTTTTAAACAGTACTTCTTAAAACTCCACAATATGTGGTCAACATAGATTATAGCTATAAATGTACTGACATGCAAGAAATACAGTAAGAAATATTTGTCTAAAACCAACTACCTGCTCTTTCATATTCCTTGAGAATAATTCATTTTTACCCAAATTATACCACTTAGTAATTTAAATCATTTGCCCAATATTTACCTTAAATTGTATTTATTTTACTTTTTTTATATTTTAATACTTTTCAAATACATTCTAAGTGACTACTGCCATTCCACCAGCAAGAACTTACCCTAAGCATGGGGCCATTTTGAAATACATGTGGCTCATCACAAACCACACAGTACTCATTCAATACAGGGATCCGCTGCTCTGCAAACTCAATTGTCTGAATCAAATGATAAAGACAAATAATTCAGTCAAATCTATAAATGATCCGAAAGCCTAGTAAAAGCTAAATTATTTCTACAATGGATAGAGTCTCGACTCTTACCTGCACTAGGAAGCCACGGTCTCGTATTGGAATGCATTTTGCACCATTTGGCTATAAAAGATAAAGTAAAAGAATAAGACAATATTAATTAGAAAAACGTATGATAAAATAATAGAAATGATTGTTCTAAGATCACATGAAATATTAAGCCATTAGTTATGACACCAAGATGTTAGAATTTCATTTCTTTTTTTTGGTACTGGGGATCTAACTCAGGACCTTGTGCTTGCGAGGCAGGCAGCGGCACCACTGAGCTAAATTCCTGGCCCTAGAATTTCTTTATTCACATAATTATAATACCCTTTTTGCCATTACTATTACAATTTTTCCCTAAACTAAATGATTAGCATTCTTAATTGCTGATCTTCTAGTACAAATGACTGGCCTCTTTACATGATTACACAAACTCATTTTCTCTATTACTCATCAGCAAATGCTCATACCTCCTCATTAGAGTATTTCAACCTTATTTTTAAGAGTGATACAATTATCCCTCCAAGGAAAAATTACACAGCTACTAGAAGTGGCTAAACCTTAAGCATAATATATTTATGCTTAGACGTATAGGATACTTGAGATTTTCCTTTCATTCAATATGTGAAATTACCTTTCTTGAGCAAAACTATCATGGGAAACATCCCACTATGTAACTGTTTAACACTATTTTCTCCATGACCTTAAATTTTATCTTTAAATAGAAATGGGCCTTTAGGATGTTCACATAAAATTACCATCATCCTCAAATTTTCATGAAATGAGTATGTTATAATTTATAATTTAGTTTCAAAACTAAATCTATATCAAAGTAACTTCCTGAAAACAGTATCTTATTTTTATTAACTTCATCTATGATTGGGTGTATTTGTATTGAAGGCTAGAGTTAAATATGCACTTTCCAACAAACATACATATTTAGAAAACAGAAATTACTCTAGAGGTGAATTTTAAAATATATTCCTAGTAAATGCCATACAAACACCTTAAATTATTGCTACAGTTATCTCATGGCTCCAGTTTCAGCATAACATGGACCCTGAAGGAAAATTCAAGGGTGGCTCTGGGACACACCTTCAACGTTGCTTCTCTCTACCAGTCACAACATTTATGGGCAAAGTTTTCCTTCTAACTTCCAGGGGATTTTACTCTTAATGTACTTCTAAGACAAACATGGTCCTCCATAATTCATGTGGAAAAAAAGAGATTAGATATACCCACTTTGCAAAACATTAAAATTATAGCGTAAAAGGAATGGTGTGTGAATCCAATGGATTTCCTCCTATTTAAGTCACATTCAATACTCTGGCATGAATTTGAACTGGAATTCACCAAAAACAGTTTTGTTTTGTTTTTTTCGGAGTCAAAACTAACATTTCAGTGCAAGTTCCTGATATGCAAAAAGCATCCAAAAAGAAAACAGCAAATTTAAAAAACAACACCAATCTTAGTGTTTTTTCTCCACTAGATCTTATATTAACAATGAAACTCCATGGCCCCTGAGCTAAAACTTAGGAACTCAAAGTGAAAATGATTACGCACAGCAGGCTGGGAAGATGAAGATGAAGATGGTGTTAAGATGCCAATAAGCCCTGAGGTAAGAGAGAGCCTCCTGCCCTCCACAGTAGGTTCCTTGAAAAGCTCAGTTTTGGATGCCTTTGGGGCGCTGGAGTAAGACTTGCTGAGCAATTTGTGATTCTTCAGTCCGTACAACTCCTCCATTCTAAGGTTGCTGGAGTACGATCTGCTTAACAGTTTGTGGGGCTTCAAGCTGGCGGTGTGCTCGCATCGTGGGTCTCCTGAACAAGATCGAGTCAATAGTTTATGCGACTTCAGAGTCAAGCAGTCCTCTTGCTTAACAGCAGCAGGGCAGGGACGGTTCAAGAGTTTGTGCGATTTAATTGTCATCGCCTGCTCAGCTCTGGGATCGCTGGACAGGGAGCGACCAAAGGTCCTATGTGACTTGGCAGAGCACACGTCTTCGGGCTTGACTGTGCTGGAACAAGTCCTACGCAGCAGCTTATGCGTCTTGGAGATGCCATCTTGCTCAGATTTCAGTTTGGATTTGCTTTTGCCACAACCAGGGGGAGGATAACTTGGCGACCTTTAAAATGGAACAAGAATTAATATGGGGCGAATGATGAGTCTAACTGACCACGGAGAATGCTTGTCACGCTCAATCTTAACTGCAGCCATCTCACTCAAATAAACAAAAATCAAGCACATGTGCAGAAGGATCCCAGGAATGAAATCACATTTTCCTGAAAAGCAAAAGACTCTAAAGTTTTTATTTTTTTCCCTCCCTCCGAACTATCCCAGTGCTCCCAATGAAACTAACAGCTATGGAACTCTAGGTGAGCAGAAAGCAAATGCAATTTTTAGTGAATTTAACAGATGTTAAAGAAATAGAACTATAGAAATGAACATTTATGCTTTTGATAGACTACATGTAATTTAGTCATTCTTTAAAGTCATGAAGAAAATAAACAGGCTGGATGTGGTACTACATGCCTATAATCCCAACACTTGGGAGGCTGAAGCAGGAAAATCGCCATGAGTTCATGGCCAGCCTAGGCTCCATAGTGAGTTCAAGTCCAGGCTTGACTACATAGTGAGACCTTTTCTCAAATAAATAAATAAACAAACAAATAATGCCAAGACTACAGAATGCTTTAAGCTGAGTAACAATGGACAACCATAAGCTCACCAAGACAATGGTGAAGTCATCTGTTACCAACCTGCGCAAGGTAGAAAATAAATGCAAGGGGGACTTCACTTTCTTCTCTGACAGCTTCTTACTGTGCAAGCAATTGGACTTTTCTTTGCTCTGTTTCCACTGCTGTGTAACAAATGTCTGCATGATCCTGTCAAACCAAAGATAACTCTGTTATTACAGTCCTAAGGTAATGGATATATTTATTGCGTTGAGAACGCACTTATCCAAGGAAATAAAAAAGTGGTATCCAGTGAGATTCTAACTTAGAATTACTCTACACAAAATTCTTCAAACATAAGAAAGGATCTGATAGCAAATCACCAAGACTTTATGGGAAAATAATTACCAATTACTAATGCAATTAAAGTATAATCTGGTATGATTTAAAAATACAAATGATAGATGAAGAAGAATAAATATATAAAGACAATTATCAGGGATCTCATCAGGATCAGCAGTGTTAGCTTAAGTGGTTAAAAAAGAAATCTTAATTATTTTTAAAAAGTCAATTTCTTTCTACTGGATTTGCTTCAATGTAAAACAAAATAATAAAGCTGTGTATAATAATAAATCATGCAAAATTGGCTTTATGTAAAAATATATGGCTAGTAAACTATTATCATCACAGTGGAGTCATTGTAAATATTCTTTTAAATTTGGATATTCTTTTAAATTTGGATATTCTTAAAATTACTTCCAAAAAATTTTTTTTCATTACTACCAAAAAGCAGGAATATGGTAATTCCTAATCTCAAAATTTTCAGTAATTTTCAGAGATTACGATAATTCTGGTATGTTGGTTTGGGACCTGGGAGAAGGGTCCTGGGCTGGGAAAACTTCCGTGTAACCCATCTTCCAAGTGGCAGTGGACAAAGGTCCCCTGAATGTTAAATATATAAGATGTAGGGTTTTCTTTCAAAAATTACTTTAGCATTGATTATCTGTCATGCTTTTCTCAAGTTTTTCCAAAATACATTGGTTCTGAGAGAGGAAAATGGTACTGATATTAGTTTACCAGTTACAATAAGCAAGAGAGTAAAACAAAAACTTTATATACCCATTTTTCCCTTTAATTTGCAAGGTACTTCCAGAGAGTAGCTATTATTGTATGTATTTCACAAATAAGATATGAAAATGAAATCTGCCCCAGCAAGCCTATATAATAGTGACAGATCTAAAATACGTACACTAATCAAAAGCGCTGGCATATGTATAATGTATGTTATTCAACAGGGACAGGTGTGATTTTTAGCACAAGGCCAATTATTAAGTTCCTCAAGATCCTTCAGTATTGACAAACTAAGTCAGCCCCCAAGAAGATTATCACTTAGGCTTAACAATGTTTCTTCTGCTAGCTTTGGTAGTTGTGAGACACAGGAGAAAACTGCTATGAATACATCATGATTCCAAATTCACAGTAAACTTGCCTTAGCTCAACAAGAAGCTCTTTTACCTTCCCCTTCATGATTAAAGATTTTTTCATCCAAGATTTTACCAGGATTCAAATGTAATTATGCTACTAGAAACATCATTTCTCCCCAAACCTAGTAAGAGATTTCAACTGACACATTTTGTACCAAACAGATGTTTTTTCTGCTGTGATTATAAAAAAAAACCAAAAAACCCATTCTGGTGCACCATTCACTAAGACAACCAGCAAGTACTTGCCTAATCAGGACAAGCTAACTAAAACAACAACAAAAAATCATAGGTAGAAATGGTTGGAATTTTTCCCTCTTTCCTGTTACACTAGCATCAGTAATTCTTTTAACCTGGATATTCAGACTTTAGCTGTTCTTAGATACAAAGGCAATGAATTTGGACTGGAGATATAGTTCAGAGATAGAGCACTGCCCAGCATGTGTGAGCACCTGTGTATGGCTCCCAGGATGGCAAAAAATAATTATTATTATTTAAAATCAGTGGTATTCTAGAGTATGTATATGAGTACATTTGGTATAATGACTACCTTCTCATATAGAGGGGCTCTAAAACATTTAAATATCCACATTTGAGTTAGTGTTTACTAATGCGCTGGCACCAAAAAGAACTACTGCAATTGTTGCAGGCTAATGATAAAAGAGAAAAAGATGTCAAGGTTAACTACACACCTGCACTGAGTGAAGAGCAGGTGATGCCGCAGCCAGCTGTAGCTCAAATAGCAAAGAGAGAGTCCACAGGGCAATGTCACATTTTCTTCATGCTGATTTTTTTTTTTTGGAAAAAACTATGAACTAGACAGTATTAGACTACAGAGTTGAACTTTGGCAAAGTATTATCATCCATCTAACTGAATTAAGGGCATTCATTTACATTTTTAGTGTTTTATTTTGATTTGCAGTTAAATTGTTTATTGGATTTGGCTTTATAAATGTGGAACTCTACACGTGAAGAATTTGTACCTGATTTTACTTTGCACATTTTTTAAGTGTAACAAGATTTACAGTAGTTTCCCTCATAAATACAATTTAACTTTGCTCAGTGAAGACGTCATACAAAGTTTATGGTTATCTCCACTGTCTCTTACCTGCTGTGCCTCTTAATGATAGTCACCCTATACAAGACTGATCACTGTGCCTCTGTGTCCTATCAGGCATGAAAAAGTATGTATTTTCTCTTTTGGGGTTTTTTTATTGACTTCACATTCTCCCTGTATTCACTAGATGCCAGAAATCTATTCCCTAACTTACATGAGATGATGGGACAGCTAGGATCCCATGAGATGAGTGTATGGGTCAACAGTATCAATGTGGAGTAAAATTCTAGCTCCATCACTTTCTCACTGTGAGCCCTTCAATTTCTTAATCTCCCTGAGCCTCAGTTTCTTCAAGGGACTAGAAACACTACTTATGATTCATAGGGTTATGGCGCGGACTGAATAATGTAATATATGACAAGCATTTGGAAGTTTGGTTGACATATAATAAGCACTGCTAAAGCATTTTCTGTTGCTGGCGCTGCTGTTAAGACTCAATCCTGCTGTCCAAAACAAAAGAAAAGGGAATAAGAGAAATGCTGCATGAGGGTCTCTTATTTACTAAGAGCAAACCTAAACGGTTGCAAACAGTACAGATTCTAAATTTGCCATCCTTCCTGTATGTTTTTGGAAAAACAAACTTTTAATATTTGAGATTCTTTTCATGAATAATTGTGAAGATACAATTAAATGTTTAAATATTATGTAATATTAGACTAACCAAACCAGTCACTTATAATTATGGACACAAACATATCAGACCAATATTTATCAACGATCATGAATAAGAAAAGGCTAGTGCATATTAACAAATTTCTGACCTAGCTAAAATTTCTCCATGAAAGTAATTTTTTGAAAATCTGGAAGCAAATATTAATAAAACATGTAATACATTCTACTCAGTTTTTAAACAGCACAGCTCACAGCTTTCTGTAATTTCGCAGAGTTAGAATTATATCCACCATTTCTTTTTCTGAACCTACATTATGTACTCAGAAGCCATTAAAGGTAAAGTTATTTATTTCTAGAATTCTGTGCTTTCATAATTCCGGTGTTGTTTTGGTCAACCCCATCCCACTTTTGAAAAAAGTTCTTGAGAGGGAAAATTGAGTAGACAATCATTAACCTTAAAATGTGCCAAAGTGAGGTGGTACAAAACGTGGGGAGTATAATGAAGAGGCAGGTCCTGGGACCTGCGAGATATGGGCTCAACCCAGGAAATAAAGTCTAATTGCCCTGGAGAACCACACCTAATCCTAGAACAGAAAACCAAGACTGTCTCTGGTGAGTCTTTACAAAAGAACACTACATAATAAAACGTGCTAAACATATGTTGCAAGTCGAATTTAGGTTAGAGATGCAAAATTCTAAAACATTAAGGGTTTATTGTCTGATTTTATATTTGCACATAAACTCAACACTGGGGATTTACAAAAGTGTTGCTCCCCCATTTTCAAATGTGGATGATGTGCAGCTCATATTTGAGTAATGCTGCCTCAATGTGAAACCATAAAAATCTAGAAGCAAATCTAGAGGTCTGTGACAGGGAAGACTCTAGATGTTACACATGAGACTTCCTGTATTAGGCAGAAAGTGCCCTAAATAGCAAAGTAAACAATTCCAAAGTGTTTGCTCTTGGAATATTGCTCAATAAAGGTTGATGTATAATACCAAATGAAAACTGATCAAAATACGAGGGAATGTGTAGAATGCATCCTGATGAACAACCTAAACAATATGCTTCAGTATGCAATTATTTTGTGATCTTCCTTTACAAATTTAAGTTAAATTTACACACTAAAGAAAAAGATGGGGAGGGAGAAAGTGAAGGAAGAGGGGGTAACAAATTCTTCAAGGATTCTCCATAAATACAAATACTTAAGGGTTAAATATTCACAAGTGTAGGGTTTATTGTTTTTATGGCTCTCATCAAAGACAAAAGACAGTTGCAGGTGCAGCTCAGTGGTAGGTAAAACATCTGTCTAGCATGTGCAATAATTTGCAGCCTTGGGTTCAATCCCCAGCACCAGGGAAGGGAAGGGGAAGGGAGGGGAGGGGAGGGGAGGGAAGGGAAGAAGAGGGGAAAAGAAGAGAGGAGAGAAATTTGTGCTGGCAAGGATCTGGAGAAAAAGGAACCCTGCACACTGTTGGATGGAATATAAATCGATATAGACATTATAAAAAACACTACAGAGATTCCTCAAAAAATTAGTCAGAACTCCATATAATCTTGTAAGCTCGTTAATGGGTGTTTAAGTCAAGGAAATTAAATCAGCATGTTGACGAGACACCTGCACTACCGTGGGTCACTGCAGCACTATTCACAATGAGAGAGAGGCGGAAACAACCTAAGTGCCGCCAGATGATAAATGCATGAAGAAAATGTGGTCCATGTATCTAATGGAATACCATCCTATTATAAGAAAAAAAAAAAGAATGAAAGTCTGTCATTTGCAACATTATGGATGGAACTTCACATTGTTATAATTAGTGAAATAAGACAGACATAGAGAGATAAGTACAACATGACCCCACCTACATGTGGAATCTGAGAAAGCTGACCTTGTAGAAGTTGAGGAGAACAGTGATCACCAGAGGCTGTGGGGAGCTGGGGAAAGTTTGAGAAGCAGGAACACAGTTCCAATGAGATATGATGAAGACATTCTAGTGTGCTAGTGCAGCCTTGGTGACTGCAGATAACATACTATGTGTTTCAAAAACTTGAAAAAAAGGATTTTGAATGTATTCACCATAAAGAAATCACAGATGTCTGATGAGAATATGTTTAATGTGATTTTTAAATAATACAATTTATACATATTACATTAATATGTATATTTCATACATATTAATGTGTATATTTTATGTAATGGGTATATTAATATGCATATTTTAATGCTGTGCATCTCTAAAGAAATAAATTTAATTCAAAGTTTTTTTAAAAATGCAAATTCACTTGTTAATTATCTATATATTTTTGTTAATTATTTATATTTAACCATCCCACAATGTATATGTACTTCAAAACATGTATACAATAAATGTTACCTATCAATTTTTTGAAAATTAAAAATTAGCAAATAAAATTGGCCTCAATTCAAGTAGGGTAATTCTGTCTCCTCTAAGAAAAGTTAAGGTTCATCTAGATCCTCTGTCTGCATTCCCCACTGCAGTGAGAGGAGAGAGAGCACGGACAGTGCCTTTATTTCCTGCAGGGAAAATCAAAAAAAGCACCCTAGGTCTGTACCAAAACACAGACCGATGAGCCCCAAAGGCCTGTGCCTTCCCTCAGACATGTGATCATTTGATTTTAGTGAAAGTTCTAAGTCAATTCTTATGTCTATCAGATAGCAATGTCCTTTTTCTTCTCAAAAGACCATTTCTATCTGCTGCCTTTGTATTTGGCCAGTGTTTTCATTTTCCATTTTTCAAAAAGAAGTTTTTACAGATAATAGTCTTTAAAACTCAAAAAAATTAGAGTTCAGCAGTGAAAAAATTATCAATAAGCCTCTGTGAGATTTTGAGGCAATACACAAGGGCTTCTGCTCAAAACCTATCATAATATTTCTACTCAGGTCTACCAAAAATACCAAAATGCACAAGAATCCTGGTGACTGCATACATGGAAGATCATGGGTTGATAACGACACGTTAAAGAAATTAACTATATTCAAATTAACTATATACACACTATATTTTTGAAGACCCATATCCATTTATAAAAGAGAAACTGAGTCATGTATTACTCAGGGTCCAAACAGGAAATACAGAGTTCACTTACAAAGGAAGTGTTTCAAAGGTGTAGGAATGAGAGAAAAGAATAGGATAGTAACCTAGGGCCAATGGGTGGGACTCTGTTCTCACCCCCAGACCTGAAGCACCAGCAACCCGCAACAGAAGCTGGTCAGGAGAGGCGCCAGTCTGAAGTCCAGAGCAGATGGGAGGTCAGCTCCCGTGACCTCCTGGAGAAACAAGCCAGGTAACCAACACACCCTTCTCCCTCTCCTCGCTCCCTGTTGGTCACCCTGGAGAAAAGGGCCCTGTGTCCACACTGGCCAGACTTCCTGTAGTGTGCAGGGTGCTGGAGGGATGGGGACAGCTCTGAGCTGGAAAATGAAGGGCCTGTGCCTGAGCCCCAGGGAGTGCCGCAAAGCAAATTAGGGACTCAGTTCTTTGCATCAGGAAGATTTCTTCTCCTCAGGCGCTCACTTCAAAAATGTCTTAGTGAACAAAAATGGGAGGAAATGAGCAAAATGGGGATTCAGTTCTCTTGAATAGAAATGTATTGTTTTATTCTTCAGCGAACTTACTTTTTCAGCTGATGTCCCAATCCAAATCGCTCTTTTGTGGAAATCTGAAAGACATCAACAGTGGGCACTGGAAAGGAAAAAGAATCACTCAAACACTGACTTCAACTCAACCATTGGTGGGAAAAAGACTGTGAAGTAGCAGTACACAGACATTCACGGAACACAGTGCACATAGGTCTATTCACTGCTGTTTACAGGACATGTACATATAAAGCACATATACATATATATGATCATTAACGGTCATTTAACATGAAAACAAATCTGTATATGTTGACAAATAACATGTACAATGAAGGTGGCACACACCTATCATCCCCACACTCTGAGAGCGGGAGGCAGAAAGATCTGGCCTGGGTACTTTGGTAACTTACCTAGACCCTGTCTCAAAATAAAAACTTCGCAAAAATGCTGAGGATGTAGTTCAGTACAAAGGCTTTAGGGTCAATCCCCAGGAGTCACAAAAAAGAAGTACTATGATAAATAATAATCTTGCAAAATAATCAATAGCTTAAATAATCACACCTAGGCGAGTTGGCGCACCATTTTTTGGTGGAAAAGAGACAAATGTTTGTAATTCTTACCCATAATATTGCCAGATTAAAACAATGGGAGATAAAGATAAGGAATATGAGGTGTTCTGTTGCATACCCTCCCGTGGCTCTTTTTTTTTTTTAGGCATTCATTTCTTCTTTGCATCAATTACTATTCACTGATTTAGAGTATCATATACCCACTGCATCGGTCACTATAGATGGAGGAATAAAAAGACACACAGAAATATCGTTGCCCACATGAAGCCTGCAGGGGAGGGAGGACGCAGAGACGAAAGGAGAAAACAGATAGCTGGAGACCAGTGCAGAGAGGAGCAGGAAAGAGGCACCATGATAGGATATTAGGGCAGAGAAAGTCTATGGCTGTGGGTGTGCGGGGTCTCTTGGTCAAATCCAGTAAAGATGATCAAGAACTTGTCACACTGAGGGAGGCGATACACTGGCTCAGATCAGCAGAGTGGATGAATGTTTTGGATTCACACTTTCTGGGAGAGCTGACAGATTTCACTGCTGAGTTGGATCTAGGTATGGAAAAAGGAGGAGTAAAGGGAAAATCCAAGGATTGTGGAAACCTAGAAAGATGAAATTTACCAACTAGCAAGTAAAAGACCAGATGGAACAGATTTGGAGAGGTGAAGAGAGTTATTCAGCTTTAAATATTTACCATTTACTAAGATAGTCATTTGATTCTCAAGTATAAAAGCGAGGTGGACAACTGGATAGAGAAGAGCAGCAGCAGGCACTCGGGAGAAGACAGGGCTACATCCGCGTGCCTCACCTTCTACAGCAAGGTGGAGGGAAGACAAGGCTCCCTTCCCACCTGCAGTGAACCCGGGGCTGGGAATTTAAAAGTGAGTAAAAATTCGAACATCCCAAAAATTCAGTGGAATTTTTTTTCCAAGAAAAAGATGACAAAATGAGAATACAGGGTACTCTTTTGAAGAGGAATTGGAAGGACACAAGCTTTTCACAGGAAGAAAGGAAAAGTGGCTGGGAAGAGAAGACAGAGCAGATACAGAGGCCTGGCTGTCTTCCAATAGGAGGAAAAATCCAACATGCGCAACTAGAACTCAAACCTTCACTAGTGGAAATTGTGCAAGAGAAAAAAGAAAAGTGATAATAACGACACCCATCTTTATCCAGAACATATCAATTAATGTTGCAAAATGAAAACACAAAACTCAGAACTTAATCATAAGATGCATGACTAAAACACAAGTGTCAGTATTTTATCAAAATGACAAAATTTCCTAGAAAATATAAATTACAAACACTGACCCAGTCAATACGAATAAAATCTAAACTATCCACAACCTTTGAATACACTGAAAGAGCTCACAAATGCTTATTTTAAAAGTATTCCAAAGTTCAAGTGATAAAATGCATATTAATGTAATTAGCTATAATTAATTATAGCCAAGGTAGTGATCTATTAATAACCAGGGGAACAGCAGAGAGTGCTGCATTTTTTCTCTAAATCTAAAAATATTTTCAATTAATTTTTAACAATGTCTTTAAAAATTAAAAGCTTCCTAAAACCCAGTAATAACAAGTTGGAAAATAAATTGGACAATAAAAATCTGATTAAGCAAATAAGCACTCAGGAGTAAACTCACCTAAAAATAGCAACATAAGCCAAAATAAGAGTAAAACACAGAATCCTGCTCCTATAAAACTAGAAACTACAACGAATATTCTTTTACAGATAAAATAAGTATTACTACTTTTAAGAAATGCCTCTTCTTCCAAAGTTTATTTACAAGTTTACCTTGGATACAATCAAATTCATCACAGGGTTCATTTTGGGTGGCAAGAAAATGAGGAAGAACTTGCCAGAATGTACTAGAAATACATTTTCACATTTTTTTTAAAAGGTGGGAGTTAATCAACTTTTCCTTATCTCTCATATAATTTCAGTTGAGAAATGAAGGCTGCCCAAGGTGCGTGGAAATTATTCTGCCACAAATCACATGAGTGTAAGAATAGAAGACACCAATCAGGAGACAATTTGTACTGAAAAACCTTTTAACATAATGTCAGTTGTTTATTATTTTCAACTAAAAACAGACCTGCCCTTTACATCATAACCAGCCTTATGTTAGCCATTTTGAAAAATATACTATCATAAGAATCTTTAATTTCAAAGTGGATACAAAGGTGCATTTCTTCAGTTCTTATCATTCCTGTTCACTCATGGATACACTGTCAGCTTCGCCCTAGCTAAATATTGTAGTTCAAAATAAGTGGCATTCACACATTTCCCAACCATAGGAATAAATGTTTTTCTTTTAAAAGAACTGTTAAGTAGGTCAGTCTAAATCTTGTATTAGTCACATACTTTTTCCAAGTTCATCTTACTATAAATGCTGGTACTTTCAAAGACTCATTGCAGAACACTCTTAAAGAAGATGTATTCTCTACCCTTTTCATTTGTTTGAAATAAGTGAAATTAGAAATTAAGATAAGACCTAATTATTTCATCTAGAATATAAATTACATGTTTCTGTTTGGTAACATCATTTCTAGTTCTACTCATATATTACACAATTATTGCCCATTTTAAATTGTATTTTTTTCTTCAATTTTTCAACAACAACAAAAGCCTTTTGGGGAATCTACAAGATAATGACGTGAGTAAATACTGTTCAACAAGCCCTAACGTAACCTGCACATTTAAAAACAGGTGAAAACTAGCCAGAAAACCAAAATCAAGGAATAACGCCACCCCTGTAGAAAAAATTTCCAGCAAATTTTGCTATAAGTAGAACAGGTGCAACAAGCTAGTCCTAGAATTCCCAAACTATGAAGGAAATGAACAAAAAAATCATCTCAAAATAAGGGGTCAAATGAAGCAAAGTATCCTCCAGGGCAGTCCTGGGGGACCAGCAGTGCAGAGTGCAGGGCGAGTCTGCAGGGCTTCCTCCTCCGCCAATGGGAACCCATCTTGATCTCCGGCCTACAACCTTTGGTCAAGTCCTCTCACGGGCAGACCCTGACAAAAACTTTGCTAAGTATTGCTCACAGAGAAACAACAGAAGGACATGAGAGTGCCACAATGATAGAAAAATAGAAATAGCCCAGCCCAGTGTACAAATTCAGGTTAGGACCCAGCTTCTGTCCGATCCTGTAGGTAATACTGAGGCATAGAGTACACCTCAAAATTTGTCTAACCATGACACAGAATGGCCACCACTCAATTCCCACACCAGAAGGGAGGGAGGAGGCGAAGACCTCCCGAGTGCCAATCTGCTCTTCCCAGGAAAGAGAAGGCTTATCAAGCTTCTATGTGTAAGAGGAAATCTACTGAAGGTGTGAGCTGTTGGCAGCAAGGGGGACAGAGGCAAGATATTTAACACTTAGAATACATATTTTGCTTACAGCACAGTGCACAGCTAATTAATATTCAACACAGTAGAGAAATAAAACTAACCTGGGCCATTTAAATACTGTGTGAGTGAACAGTGGAGTCGGACAATTATAGGTTCTGTTCGAATTACTTCCCAAGCCACAGCAATCTCTTCCTGCACAAAAATATTTAACAGCTGAGTCAGTCATACTTCAGAGTTTAAAAAGAGAAAAAAACTTTAAAAACTGATGTGAAAGGAATGCATAAATTAAGAAGGCCTACACATGACCCCACTCTAATGTGAAAAGAAGGCCAAAGTATTCTTAATTCTTGCTTTTATGTATGAAAAATAAAAGTAAAAACTTATAATGAATTACTATAATAAAAACCATAAATTTCAGGAGCTATTAAAAGAATCCATACCCAAAAAATCTTTATATTATCTCTCCTTCTTTAACAAGTGGTAGCATTTCTTCATAAATCAGTTTAATGTTAATGTGATCATACAAGGCAACCAAAAATAACTGTACTTTAAATGTACCAGTTCTATTACAGAAATTGATACTTACATCAAGAAAGCTCACATCAATATGCAGATCAATATCTACATCATCAATGGCTCCATATTCCCTGAAAGCAAAGATTAACATTAATCTTTGTTTTTCCCATTTTCCTTAAAATATAGTGTGTGATAGGTTATTTTAATTAGAAATTCAATCACCCGTTCTGATCCTTGATTTCCACAGATACCACAGAACTGACTGAGGGCATGAATTACTACCTCAATGTAGTTAAGCTGTCACTTGCTGTGACCTGTGTACCACAGAGCTATCTGTGTAAATGCATATGCATACATAACTCCAAGAGTTGCTTGCATCAGTTTTCAAAGTAGTCTCCCAATGTGACTGTGTTTTTATCACACTCTAAGACTGAAGAGCTGCTTCTAAAGGCAAGAAAAGAATTCTGGCATACGTGGGGGTGGGGAGAGGGGTGCAGACACAGTAAAACGTCCATGAGGTTCCTGCTCAGCCACTGGTGGTTCAGAAACTGATCCAGGTGCCCTAGGACCTAAATACCTCTGTGTTTGTGCAGGTAGCTATAAAAGTTTAATATGTCAAAATTAAAGTAACAATCATGTGTTCCAAATGAAGGGACTATGAAGATCAACTTTTGTATAGCTCAAATAAAAGAAATAACACAAAAAAATACTTTTAATATTCTCCAGACATACATATCTACATTTCTGATATGCCTACAAAATTCTAAAGTTACAAATACTACCCATAGTGAGGGATATAACTACAGAAATAACTTGCAATGATAAAAATTAATGACAAATATTTATTAAGCACTTATGTACCAGAAACTTTCCTAAGAATTTCATCTACATATGATTACTTAATATTCACAAAACATTACAGCAACTACTATAGTATTATTTCCACATAATCTGAGGCCCAGAGTAATGAAGTAACTTAATCATTGCTCTGCATCATGGCTGGGACTTAAATACGTGTATTCCAGTTATCTAGACATGCATTAAATTGGTTCAATATTCAAAAGTTACCACTTTGTATTAGAAACCAGGTTACATATTAGTGGATAATCTCATTAGGTCCTCATCACAGATATGAAGTCAGCGGAGGAGTCACTGAATCTAACCATATGCAACAGTATCTGATACATAGCAAGGATTCAGTAAAACTTCCTGTGTATTATATGCACAAATAATACAAATATAATACAGAATTATGGCACATTTATAGGGGCCAGAGTAGAAAATGGCTTTATGTAACTTAATAAATAAGAAAATCTAGGAGATTTTTTTTCTTGGCATCTAAAACCGGTACAAGGCAGTATATATATTAGATTATAAAAGCTTAGACTCTGGACTTTCTGCATTTTCTCCTTAAAAATACATCAAAACATTGAGCACATTTTTTTATAAAACTGTACTTTTTAATTTTTAATAGTAATACTTTTTAAAAGTTACATTTAAAAAAGAAAAGTATAAAAATAGCTTACATTTAAAAAACATCACAGCATCATAATGTATGCTTTTCATAAAAGATCATTTAGAAGTGAATATGAAATCATACAGAAAATACGACAAGAACAGGGACCAAGAAAATGAGCCATTTCTTCTATGTCTCAAATTCAAGGTCCAGCAAACTTTCTCTGTGAATAGTAAAGGTTTTTCGGATTATATATGGTCTGTTGTCACACATCCTCCTTTGGTTTTTTTCTTTCCTTTTTATGCAGCTTTTTAATAATGCAAAACCCATTTACAGATCATGGATTTTACAAAAGAGGCCTCATAACTCGGTAATTATAATCTAACAACCCTGCACACAGCACATGATTCATATATGGTAAGCCAACTTTTTTTTTTGTACTGGGAATCAAACTCAAGTCCTTAGCCTGCGAGGCAGGTGGTGGAACCACTGAGCTAAATCCCTGGCCCAAGCCAACTATTCATTGCTAGGCATGTTCAGACAATCAGTGCAATGACAAGGAGAATGACAATAATCAAAAGAAGTTTTGGAGAGTGAAGAGGCCTTAAGGAAGCACCATTCCATTTGCAGGAGGGAATCTCAGGAAAGTAAGGGCCAATCTGGGCAAACTTTTATCTGTCTCAATGTATGCAAAAGCAGAAATTGGAAAAAATTCAAGTATTATCCCAAAACAAGAGAATATTTAATTATGTCATGTTCATGAAAATTGCCTATTGTTAAAATTACTACAAAAATACTATATCCTGGAGGGAATGATGCTAATATACTCCTTTCTACACAAGCAGATTACCAAAAAAGCATGGAAATTAAAATGATTTAAAAACTAGAAACAGAACAAATAAAACTAAAGATCGCATTCAGAATTTTATAGAAAATGTAATGTATTTCCCAAAAACACAGACTTAACTTCTGATTAGAAAAGGTAATATAGAATCATTACATCAAACGCAAGAAGCAAAAAATTACACACAAAAATAACTTCTAACACCACAATCAATGATAATTATTTTTGGTGATGTCTTTTTCATGTATGGCATCTAAAGGTTTCCGACCTATTCTTTTTCTTCTCCTAGAGTTGTATTTTTGTATATCGTAGAATGTTTTTCAAAACCATAACTTTAAATGGCTGTATGTATATAAATACAGTTGTATAATAAAACATTTGTTGCCTTTGATTTTGTTATATCTAACAGTCCTCTGGATAAAAACTCATGTGCACCTATATTCTCATGGAATAATTTCTAGAATTCCTGGTTCAAATGAATAGTATGACTTAATTTAGGATTCCTGATACATACTGTTTAGTTAATTATTTTAAAAGGTTAAAATTTATAACCAGCCTAGCTGGTGACCATTCCCCCATATCCTTATCAGCATCAGATATATTCTTTTTCTCAACTTTTCCAATTTCATTAGGGAGAATTACTCTTTTATTTGAATTGATTTACACTGTCAAGACTCTGGTCATGTTTAGAAGCAGCAAGAAAGGAATCTGATTTTTTATTTTTTAAATCAGTAAGAACCTTATCCAGTTATTTTCCTCATACATAGTTTTTCAAAGCACTTCAACAGAATTTAACATAAAGTTATGATTAGAATGTGACACATCTCATTTTAAAAGTTAACTATAAATTTTAAAGTATTCTAGGTATAATTTCTTGAGCAATTTTTTGTTTAAAAGTTAGCTTCTTCCAAATTTCAAACACAATTTATTTCGGGGGGGGGTGTAAAAAAAGTTACAAGTGCTCTTCTTCACCATAGCAGAGTATGAATACAGGGTTAAAAGAAGGTTGAAGCCCTAAAGGTTTGCAATTAACTGGATTCTGCAGGTGTAGATCTGTAAATAGTTACTTGTTCTGTTTTTATGCCACAATTCAAAGAACTCACAAATGACACTGCGTATATGCAAACCCATTTCCGTTGTGACACCCTTTTTATATAATGCCAGTAATTTCAAGTTTCCCATTGCAAGATTACAAAGCGTGATTACAGCTTGTCCAGATGCAGCGACCCAGTCAGTCATCAGGATCATTTCTGTATCTGAATAACTTTGAGTAGCCCAGGATCTCATGAATACCAAATGCAAAATCAAGTCCAGTATTTGACAGATGAATGCAACTTGAATTGTGACTGTGTCCTGAATGCAATACTGGGTTTATAATAACTCACAATAATTTCATGTACTGCTTATATATTCCCTATGAAAAGACCACATCTAACTGAACTTAAGATTATTTTTTAAATGAAGGAAATAATACAGAAATGATATGATCCAGTTGTTTTGCTCAGGAATGGAGGGTGTGGGAAGAAATCCTGCATTAAAGACCTCCTAAAAACTAGTGAGACTTCCAATTCCAGGTGAGCTACTCTTCAGGTCTATACAACTTTAAATTAGCCATTTGATTTGGGATATTTACATATGTCCCACATTAGTTAAGAACCTACGTAAGAAATAACTGTGTTAATAGCTTGTGAGGATACTGTTAGAATTGTTGACCATTTATTCTCTTGTTTTTAATGAAATCAATCAAAAACATCCTCATTAATGTGACATTCACATGTATATTCACAATGTACAAGATCATCTATCTGTGTTGGTCTTCCATTCTCTGTAATACTATAGCTTATTCGCTCTACTTTTGGAATATTTTGTAGTACAACCTGGTCAAAATGAGGTGTGATCATGCTAGTTATGAAAAATGTATTTTTAGATATCTAACTATTCCTTATAAGCTAAGAAAATAATGTGCGTGCGCGTGCACACACACACACACACACACACACACACACCTCACTACAGACCTCTACTGTAATCATTTGTGCTTTCAACGACTGGGTGGTTAGATGTTGAAAGATATTTTGTGAATAAACACATGCCTTCCTGTGACATCTGAAGCTCAACAGCTTGCCCCTATCTCTACATGCCTACTCAATGTGTGATTCTGCCCGGTGTGGGGGACATGTTTGGGAATGGGCCAAGAAACATGCAAACTCAGTAGTCAGGAAGAAATTTTAGCAAGGCCAAAGCATTTACAAGATTGTATACGAGGTAGCTATAAGTTTCTCTAAAAAAAAAAAATGGGACTGAGAAAAATTTTAAAAATTAGATCCAGATAACAAAGGAATCTGATCTTTTCTAAGATGAAATAATATTGCATGAGAGGTACTGAGTAAATAAACAGGTGTTGTAACTGCAGTCAGCTTACGTGGCCCTGGTTTTGCTTGAAGCAAGTCCAGGCCTGGGGAGCAAAGAGGAGTGTCCAGACTCGTGACTGTCTGAAACCCACATCTAGATCCTGCTCCTTTGTCTTTGGAAAATTCTCTCCCTTTGGTGTTGTTACCCTGTGCACCTCCTGTCATTGCTTTCCTGATTTTCAGTGTCAGACTGTTTTTCTCCTTAGCCCAGAGGCAGAGGGGAGAAGCAATATGCTGGAAAGAATATTACAAACTTCCAAGCCAAGATCATCTTTTGATGAATGACATGTTTCAATGTAGGCTGTTACGTTGTGGTGATAAACGGCCTCAAAATTTCAGTGGCCTAACACACAAAAAAAATTTTATCTCACTCAACATGAAATTGGGGGGTGGGAGGAGATCAAGGTCATCATCAAGGAGTCCAGGAGAAATAGGAACTCTCACTCCAGCACTTATGTGCACATTTCTCTGCCCAAAACTAGTTACATGTCCTCCACCAATATTAAAGGGAACAGAGAGAACAGCACTACCATATTCCCAGAACAGGACAATCAGAAGGTTTGTAAATAGTCCTGTTGGCTACTACAAATACAAATTCAGAAATCCTGAGAAATTACAGTGGTCTATCCTGATTTATGTGGCCTTTTTCTTGCTTTTATCTTTTTCTTTCCTTTTAGAGATATGTTGGTACCTTTGAGGTGCATGAGCCTGGCGGTACAGGTTCCTCAAACCACTAATAAAACCTCACAGTTCTTCTGTTCTCTAAGTAGCAACTCAAAAAGGCCTCATCAGATTCCCAGTACCAAAAAAAAAAGGTCTCATCAGAGCTGTCCAGCCATAAAAAAAGTAATCAAAATGCGGAAGAGTCATAATCCTGGGAGCTTCCAGCCTACGCTAGGCATTAGTAATAATAAAAAGGTTAGATTACTCATACAGTTTCAATTTTTAACATGAAAGACAGCATGATCATAAAGCAAAGGTATCTTATGTGCTCGGAAGTATTAAATTTCACAAGGAAATCATCAGAATTATTTCTTGCCTAACCAACTGAGAATTCTCTGGCCTGCGATTCCTTGCCTTATCTAAAAATGTTGATCTGAAACTATTTTCAAATGACATCAATCAACATTATTTTATAAACATATGATTATAGGAGTTTATTTACAATGAAAAACATTCTAATGTAAAGCATTTTGGTTGCATAATTAAAAGTGAACCATATTCAGATGGATCACTGGATTTCTGTTGTTCAGAGCTAATTCACTTCCCATACAAGAGACTACAGTGTTAAGCAAAATAAAAGCAGACGAAGAAGGTTAAATATTGCATGGTTTCTCTTAAATGAGAATCTCAAAGTATAAACAATTTCAAGCAGGGAAGTAGACCTTTTGCAGATAGGAAGGGGACTCTAAGGATGGGTGGAGAGAGAAGGAAGGGAAAGTAAAAGAACTAAGGTAGTACATGTATACATATACCAACTCCCCTGATAAATGTATTCTTTATGCGTTGCAAACAGGTACTAATAAAAAAATTTTAAAGACAACTACAAATCAGAATTATCATCAATGGGCCAGGGATTTAGCTCAATGGCACCATGCCTGCCTCCCAAGCGCAAGGTCCTGAGTTCGATCCCCGGTACCAAAAAGAATTATCATCAATGTTTGCACATATGATTCAATGCAATCATTTTGTTTTTGAATGATAGGGCCAGAGAATGCTGTCACTGCCTATTAATAGTAATAAATCTTTTACTTGTCATTTTTTCTATACCTTCTTTTACTCTCTTACTAAGAGTTTTTTTCTCAGTCTAGGCAATCAGTTATTCCCTTCGCTTAAAAACAAAAAACTTAGATATGGTTAGCTGCTTTTCTCATTAGAGGCTGCTTTAAAAAAAAAATGACACCAAATAGCCCACTGTGCATATTGAGGTACTTTTGCTCTTCAAAGTCCATTAAGTTCTTATAAGCCTCAATTAAGTAAAAGAACAGCTAATTAGAACAGTCTGTTTTCAATAGACTTAGAACTTTGCACGGAAGATGATTCCAAGATCTTATGCCTAACTCCCTCATTTTCCCATGTGTCCAACTTTCAGTATTTGAGACTAGAAAGTAAATTCATTTTTATTTAAGTAAATCAAACTACTATTGCTCTTAATATCATGAGAACTATTTATTTTGGAATCATTCTCTATAACTAGAGAAAATCTAGAGCAGGAACAAATATGGCTTGCATTAATCCTAAATTGGATCAAAACTGTTGTAAGTGAAATAGGCAAGGAAAAAAATCCAAGACATTTATAATGTTAGCTCTTTCATTTAACTAATACTCCAGACATTTATCTAAGTTTAATGCTAATAACTAGCAATATTATTTACAGTAGAAAATACTAATACCAATCACCATAGGTGCTTAGTAAGTGCTTGGTGAGAAAACAATTTTATATAAACATGACAAGATAAATGGAGCCTAGATAACATGAAAATATGTTTTACAAAAAAAAAAATCTTTCCATATAAAAGCAATCTATATGTATTGTTTATCATGCTGCACTAAGTATCGTAACAAAAATATATATTTTGAACAAAATAATATTTGAATTTTATGTTGTAGTATGAGTTTAATTACATTGAAAAGCCTCTTATTTTAGTAGAATGGTAAATTATGGTTTTAAAATTAAAGATTTAAGCTTATAAGCAAACTTCGATTACTATACACATTAGCCATTCTTTTGGACTACTTCTTTATCAATAGCTCCTATGGCCTTCCTATATTCATTATACAACCCTACGCCCTACTAATAACCATATAGCCTAATCTGGAGCCATGACAGATACCAAATGTGAAATTATAATAGTTTAATTTGCAAAAATTTCAAAGCTCACAAAGAATTGTTTTTTAAAAAAATATAATCTTATCACGCTCACTCAACAGAAGCCAAGAGTCCAGAGCAGATCTGGTACACAACCCCAGCTTACTTAGGCTGCAGGTGGTAGTGTTTTCTGTTTTTGCAATTAAAATGAACTTGGCAGTTATAAATTATAGCCATTCTGTGCTTCCCAATAAAAGATATTTGTTCATCCTTTCAAAATATGGGTATGCCCATTGAAGAGAATAATGTGATCAGCTCTTTTCTGAGACACTGCCATGGAAAACAATCAAGAAATCACCATAAATTCTATATTTCATATATTTCCCATGCTATACTAAGTATCAGGAAACAATGATTAAAAACAATACAAAGCAAAATAAATAAATACGAAAAAAGCACTGGCCCAACATGCACAAAATTCAGACTAGAGAGAGAAAAAAACCAATAATGAGAAGTATAATAATCATGACAAAAAGCCAAATGTTTTGGGAGTCCAGAAGGCAAAGTAACAGTAGAGATTCAAAGAAGGCTGGGGAGAAATTGACCTTTGGACTAGGGTTTGAAAAGAGACAGCAATAGGATTTGGAGGGAAATGTCCTTCAAAAAGAAAAATGCATGTGCAAGTGCCTGACATTATGAGGGAATCCTGCACACTGGGGTGGGCTGGGTAGAAATGGGGCTAGAACTGAGGTCAGGTCAGGAGAGGGAGCTGGAGTTCCTTGGAAATTTAAAGACTACACTATAAACCATGTGTGGTGGCACATGCCTGAAATCCCAGCACTCAGGAGGCTGAGGCAGGAGGACTGCTGTGAATTTGAGGCCAGTCTAGGCTGCATAGGGAGTTCGTGGCTAGGCTGAACAACATAGGGAGATCCTGTCTCACAAAATTAAAAAATAAATAAATACATAAAAAATAAAGACTACACTATAGGCAAAGAGAAGAAAGCTGAAATGATCAGAGATTATTCCTGTAAGCTAATTTAACAGCAAAAGGTCCTTCTTTTATATTAAAGAGATAAATGAAAGGTAAATAAGAAGGCTGAGTTCTTTGGAATGATCAAATGCAATAAATTTTATCGCTAAATATTAGGTAGTAACAGATTAAAATACACTATCATTGAAACACTATACAAATCTATGTCTTTTTGTTCAGGGGCCAGATCACAAGGTGGTAGAAACCAGAGTGTAGGGAGCAATGCTACATAATTTTAGGGAAAAATCATTTGAGTAGGCCTAGTTTTCCTGTCTACAGGCCAGCTAGGACATTTCAAACATAATTGCATTTTGGCCTCGGGTCACAACTGAGACCTCAGTGATCCCTGGATGCTGTAATGCTCCAGGACAAGACCACACCTTCGGGACACGCCAGGGAGGAACCAAATATTTATCTGCATAGTTCCTCACTGTTCTTAGATTTCCACTGCCCCCTTGTCTTTTTACACCTTGTTTATCCCAATGTAAAGTACTGAACTCTACATTTTCACTTGTTACATCTGTTTCCCCATGTACTGAATAAAAAGTGCTGTAAGCTGGGGGGGGGGGGGGCTTTGCCACCCAGAGCAGCACTGATCAGACCCAAAGCTCAGCTTCTTCTCATTTGTCTACCTTTCCTGTAATTCGCCGTGTGCTGCTGTGGCTCACAGGAGACTAGGACTTACTGCAGAGGTTCTCGCAACGTCCCCTTCCCCTGTTCCCTACACCAGAGGTTTTACATTATTTACTTTATTGTTCGTAGGGCTGTGGCCTGGATTTATAATAACAAGAGGCCAACTGGCCAAATCTACTATAGTAATTAATTATGATACTTCTGAGAAGTAGCATTTCTCCAAACCATCCAATGAATTGTTAGCCACATGTACAAAATAAGTCACAAATACCCATTTTGTGTAAAGACACGCACAACAAAATCTATCAAACACTTTCACATATAACTGACCTCAAAAAATTTCTTTAATTTAAATTAATTTTTATTCATTGAAGGCATTTCTTTACCTGAGAGAAACTGCATGTGGGCCATAAATCTCTCTCACTGCAGATAAATCGGCTTCCAACTGAGGGTGCTTGTGCAGTTCCCCATCGTAGCTCACCTGGAAGGTGATTCGGAAGTGACTCAGGAGTGAACAGCATTAACACAACCAAAACACAACAATCTCCGGGACGTGTCCCCCTGTGCATTCTGCAGAAACATGCTGCACTTCATTAAAAAATCAAGGTAAGGGCCAGGGATTTAGCTCAGTGGTGCTGCTGCCTGCCTCGCAAGCGCAAGGTCCCAAGTTCGATCCCCGGTACCAAAAAAATAAAAATAAAAAATCAAGGTAATTCAGTAGTATTTTCATTAAAGTTCCTGTGCTTACATATGGCTAGTAACATTCATTAGGTTTAAAGGTTAAAATTTGAAAATTTTAACCCTGAGAAAATCCCGGCGCTGAGAAAATGAAAAAACGGAAACAAAGTCTTTGCAAATAGGGAGGGATGGCGGGGTTGAAGGGAAGGCAGGGGAAGGGGGAAAAAATAAGAACCAAGAGAGATTATGTAACGGTGCAAATTTCCAATGATGAATGTCATTAAATTGTATACCTAAAATGTACCAATAAAATAAAATTAAAAAAAAAAAGAAAATGCCAGAGTTAAAACAAGGGAATTATCTGGCAGATATTCTGCAAAACTTCTAGAATGAATCTCTAGAAGAAAGAAGAGCATTTACATTCTCTCTGCAAGAACTAGTTCCATACACAGAACAAAACAAAAACTGCAAAAGAAATACTTTGTGTTACGTTAAACATTACATTGGTTAAAGAATCACTTCATTGGGAAAAACCTTCCCAATACTAGAAAGTTACTCCTTGAAGAGAAACTTAACTTTGTCTACATCTCTACTCTCTTGCTCATGTATGACTGACAAATTACTGATTTTTTTAAAATTTTGAATAAATAAAGTTACTTGCATTCTCTCACATAGTAATTTTGGCTTTAATGACCCTTTTTTATCAAATAATCCTCCATTTTATTGTCCAAGTTATAAAGAACATTAGAGCGGGGGAATTACATAAAGAGAAGAACATACCATATAGCCACGCTGTAAAATCAACATGTTAACATTACTCTGAAAAAAATCTGATCAAATACTTCATCTACATGGCTGTCATTGACGTCATAAATGTGGCTTCATCTATGTGGCTATTTTCATATATTTAACTCTGATAATTCTTCATATCAATTTTTCAACAGTGAAGGCAATGACAGTGAATCCAAGTTAAATAATGAAGATGCTCAATAATTAGGGCCCATCAAGTTTTATGAAAATTAACCATCTTCTAGTTAAAACAATCTGCACTGTTCTTAGAAATGCCATCATTTCAAAATACTGAGTGTGATATGCTTAAGATATGTAAAACTCCAAAACATAATAAAATGTCACCTATAAAATCTCTCTAATGAGTTAAGACAATTTCAATGTAAATGATTACAATAAAAAGATTTCCAAAAATAATCTTAATGTCTAAGAATATGTAGAAAATTGAAAATAGCTAAGTCATACAGATATTCTGGTTAATTACAGAGTACTCATCCAAGCCTACTGCTTGTAACCCTCAGGCACAGAGTTCCACTAGGACAAATGTGGCTGTATGAACTAACTTGGAGACTGGGGATTGGAAGACAGGTTAACTTACTTGTCCTCCATAATAGAATTCTTCTGAATCATTATCCCCTTCAGAATCTTCTTCCACTGTACTATTTTGTCTTGACTCCTAAAATAATAGAACAAGAAGACAATTTTAACTGTCACACTAGTTTCCTTTCTTTTGCAGATAAAGTAGCAAGTGACTACATTTTGTGGCTATTACATGGATTTTATATGTAAAATATCCTTGGTGACGTACAATCCCCAAACAAAAGATTGTGACAGTTTTGTGGATTCACTTACCTCTTTTTATTATTCAAATAATTTTTTTAAAGTTTTCTTTCACTGAAAGTAGTATTTGCAGTTTAATATTTGATGTATATTAAAGACTTATGGGGGATTTAGTTCAGTGGTTCCGCCACCTGCCTCGCAAGCGCAAGGACCTGAGTTCAATCCCCAGTACCAAAAAAAACCAAAAAAACAAAACCTTATGTATAATCAATTATATCATCAGCTTTGCTCTGATAAAACATTTGGCAGGCTCATACTAATTCAATTTTTATTAAAAAGTTCCTCTGCATTATTTATCTGAGACTATTCAATTCCACAGACAACTCTAAACAATAGTCTAAAAGAAAAGAAACTTTGAATGCAATAATATAAAAATTAAATTATGAAAATATGGATCATATTATGAAGAGAACTTTCAGTATACAGAAATTATTTGTTTTGCAATTCAGAAGTATCTTTAATTTAATAAACTTTACCTTGAAGTTTGAGTTTTTAATTAACTGAATCATATGTGTTGTGTGTCCAAAGTACAAGCAATGAAAATTCATGGTGGCGTCCCTGGGACTGACCTTATTAACAAAGTTAGAAGGAAAAAACTGGCTCCTTTGGATGCACGAATCTACTTATCCAGTGTTTTGTCACCCTTCCTAAATTTTAAGTTCTTGAGGAAAACAAAATAGCCAAGTATAGGGACTCTGGATTTCATGAATTCTTCTTTTGATCAGTAACGGTTCTGTCCAAGCAGTGATTCTCATTGTAGATTAAGGGGGGGGGGGCGCTAGTAGTGCAACACAAAGAGGGAGGGGGGTTGTATCGAATATACATCTTTCAGAGAAGAGCTGCTGCCCCGTTGCACTTGCTTTGTTTAATGTCTTAGTATTTATTCACAAACTCAAAATGAATTTTTCAAAAGGAAAGATATGAGTGTTTTTTTAACACCAAATAATACCCACTTTCTGTGTACTTTGGCTAAAAAAATCATGCTTTACAAACAAAATTTTAAGGGTACCATCAAAATTATGTCTACCCATGTATAGTTATTAATATAAGATACATACATACTCCACCACTAACTATATTATTTGATGAAACATTATAAGTATTTTTGTATGCATTTTATTTAGATTTAAACTAAATATTTCTATTATTTTAAAGGAAACTTCCTTCTTAAGAGTTAATTTTAGCACTTAAAAAGTTCTTTAGTCATGAGCTTAAGTTTCATTCACCATATGCAAATAATCTAAATAACATTACAATGTTAACTACAAATAACTAGTAAATTTAAAATATTTTCAAAAAGTAAGAAATATAACTTACATACCTCCCCATTTTCCTTTTGCAGTTTGGATTTTATGGATAAGCAACAGTTAATGTCATTTGTTTTTCTTAATTCTGAAAAGTACAAGTTGGAAAAATTATTTTCGTTTTCACCAAATTATTTACCAAATGTTAACAAGTTTCCATATTTAAAAAAAAAAACAACTTAGGTTATTCCCTCCATCTTGTTTTCAAATTTTATGGTTGGGAAAAAACACAATATGAAAGCTATTCAGATTTTTCACTGTGCATAAAAATGGTTATGCAACTAGAGTAGCAATAAACAGATTTCTTAGGAAGAAAAGGTGCAAAGGGGAAGGGGAAGTGGGAGGGGTAGAGGAAAGGAAAGCAGGGAATGAAATTAGTATGAGAAAATGAAAAAAATGGAAACAAAGTCTTTGTAGATAGGGATGGGTGGAGGGGTTGAATGGAGACTAGGGAAAGGGGGAAAAAATAAGAACTAAGAGAGATTATGTAAAGGTGCAAATTTCCAAAGATGAATGTCATTATATTGTATACCTAAAATGTACCAATAAAATAAAATTTAAAATCAAAAAATAAAAAATAAACAAATTTATTCAACTATCATATATTTCATGGTATCTTCATTGCATGGATTTTATATTAAGTTTGTCTAGCAGTATCACCATAGGAGGGAAATATTTTATAAGAGCAATGTCAACATAATACACTTAACCAGAGTTTTTTATAAGTACTATAAACTTACTCATTTCAAAAATTACTTTTAAAAAATGTCATGCATGTTAGACAGTAAGTTTACATGGAGAATCAGACTTATAGGTAGTAAAGGTGAATATTTTAAGTATAAATTTTTTAAAAATTCCAAAGCTATCTACAATTAAGAAAAATTAACCTCAGATAAGAAAATACCTTGTTACTATTACCTGTTGCTATTCTATGAAAAATTACTGGAATTGGCTCTGTTGTAACTAGTACATCTTCATCATTTTCTGAACTTGACACATATGTATTGTCTGCAATGAAATATAATTAAATGCAGTTACCCGCAAAAGTACTTTCATAAAAAATAACTCGTATCCACATCACTTTAGTTCCAATTCTCATAAAGGACATAAAAGACATACTGCTACTCTAAACTCAGAAGTGAACTGCACTTTTTGTACGTGGATTAAGTATAAATTGCCTCTTCAAAGATATTTGCATCTCTTTGAGAAATACAGGCTTCAGATAGAACCAAACCATTTCATTTCTAATATCCCATGTGGTAATGAACCATCTGAATGCTACCTGGCTGCCTCAACTCACTGAACTGGGTCCTGTTCAGTGTCAGTAGATACTACAAAAAGTACAGTTATTGAGTGGAGTGAGAAAACTAAAGAACATTTAATATAATAAAAAACAAGATTTGAAGACAGGTCATTCAAGAATGTGAGCTGAAGATTTTGTTGCCATCATGCCCACTACATTGCTCTACTATCTGTTCCTAAATGAAGTAAGGTCACCCAATTATTATTCTTGCACAAATTAAGTTATCTATGTGTATTATATAATTGAGTAAAAAGCATTAAATTATTAATATTTTTATGTTTACCATTTTGCCCATATACATCTACATGCGTCGTTAATTTAATATAATAGCCAGGTTATTTATTCTACTTTTATCATTGATGACCACAGGGCATCTATAAGACCACTATTTAACAAACAGTTCACTAGTAATGGTCCTATAATGCACTGATTGATGACTTACTAAATACTATAAGTAAAACATCCGAAAAGTAACGTAAATATGAATCAATTTCTACTAAGTGTTGAGATGACTGAACAAATGTATGTCAGAATCTTTATGAACCATATTTTCATAATATTGTGTCAGTATACAGCAAACAAGATTTTTAATTTTTAATTGATAGATGCCTAAATTGTTGCTCTGTTTCTAAAAAGAAAACCTCTACTATTTTAGAACTCAAGAAAAGGGAATGGTATGTATGCACAGCTTAGCTGCACATCTCTCAATAGACATAAGGCTTTAATAGTTATTTGGGAAGGTGAGAAGGAGTAAGTGTCAATTATGTTTGAAACAAATCAAGTTTGCCAGGCTGTTCTCTGGTAAGCGTTAATTACAGATTTTTCTTTATTTCAGTTTTCAAGTACTATTAAAGAAGCTATGAGAGTTTCACGTTTATCAAGTGGGGTAACAGGATTAAGAAATAGATTTAATATAAATTTACTGTTCATATTGTTTCAGTGTGTTGGTTAGGAGGCTGACAACTTATCAAGAGACTCTTCTGCCAGTAATCTCATACTTTCAGGCAAGTGTTAAAACCTCTCCACAAGAGCCAGCCTTTTTTTCTTTTTCCTTAACTCTTTCCTCTTCCTGATTCAAAGGTATCTGCTACTATGCATAAAGGATTCTGGGAAGCAAATGTTAAAAGAAGGTTATTAAAAGGGACACTATTAAGGCAATGACCAATAACTAGAAAGGAAGATCTATGACAGTCCCTAGAGTGGACAGCTGCATGCAGTATCACAGAATGCTAGAGATTTTATTCAAAAAATTTTGAGGCAAGCAAAGTTAGACAATATGCTGAAAGAAAATATAGTAAGTAGCTCAATCTAAAGGATTTTTCTCTCAAACAAAATGTCTTACATGAAATAATATACAAACTACTCTCAAATTCATTGCAAAAGAAAAAAACACCTTCACTATGAAATTCAGGAAATTTAAGCAAACCTGAAGGCAGAAGGATTTGATTTGAGATAATATAATCTAGTGAATACGTGTTGAATAATCCTGAAGATCAGAATTATGCCTTCAAATGTATTTTCTGAACTACATGCCTGTTATCCAAGTACTCTGGGAGGCTTGAAGCAAAAGGATCACATTCAAGGCCAGCCTGGGCAATTTAGTGAGATCTTGCCTCAAAATGAAAATGAAATTTGGGCCGGGGATTTTAGCTCAGTGGTTCCACCGCCTGCCTCGAAAGCGCAAGGACCCAAGTTTGATCCCCGGTACCAAAAAAAAAAAATTGAAATTTGAAAAGGACTGGTATGTACTCAGTTTGAAGGTCCTGGGTTCAGTCTGAGATTTGCCACCAGTTTGATTAGTTTTTAAGCATTATAGTTTTGTTTTTGGCTTAATGTACCCCAAATCAAAATATTTTTAGGTCTCATGAATATTATCTGTTAAATTACCACTGCAACATAAGAAGCCATATCAGATCACAGAGGGATATATAGTTATGATCATAAAGGCAGCCAAAAGAGCACATCAAGTCTAGATGTTACTTCTGAAAATATTTTTTCTTTTTTGCTAAAAATTTGAACATAGTGACTTTTAAGAATAAAATAATACTGGCCAGGGATTTAGCTCAATGGTTTCACTGCCTGCTGCACAAGCGCAAGGACCCAAGTTCAATCCCCGGTACCAGAAAAAACAAACAGGACCCCATAGCAATCATGAAAGAAAAATATGACAGTTGCCCTAGAACCATCCCCAAAATGATACAAGCTCAGACAGACTCCACTAGTTCTATTAAATGGTCAAAGTATACTTTAGTTCCTTCAGCAACATGAAGTCTATTATGCCAAAATATATAACAAAGCACAAATAAGTTTTATAGATCAACATTAAGGTACCCATTATAATTTGTCACTTTATTGTTCAAAGAGGAAAATATACATGGTAACTCAACAGATGTCACATAAGAATTTGATAAAGAGTTAATATTACTAATGTTTTGTAAAAGTACATGAGAAAAACAACAATGAAAGCAACTGCAAGTATGCTAATTTTGAGGAAAAGGACAAAGCTGCCAATTTCCATATCTACTATTAAAAATTAATCCAGACATTCCAGTTAGTGCTAGGAGACAACAGAGATCTAAACGCTGGAAAGGAAGAGCAAATATTTCTGTATGAAGTTGTCTATCTGAGAAGTCAAGCCTAATAATTCTTAGAACAATTCTTAGTAAAAATAAATATGGACTAAAATTCAGTAATAGCAAAAATATTATCATATTTTTACTCACTTTGAAAAAAGCTTACATAAAAGCACTATTACTACTCCTCCTACAGAAGCAATAGAATTCAGAACTGAACTGTAGACCTTGTTGGAAAACTGGGCTCTGTACAGAATATTTTGGTGTAGTAAATGCAGCAACCAATTAAAACTTGTGCCTCGGTATTTCAGTCTGGATACTCTACTCTCTCGTCTTGTGTTTTTGGAAAAGAAATTAAATTGGAAGCTCACTATACACTTTCTCCAAGAAGGGAATTCATTAACAAGAACAGAAATGATAACTAATTCTTTGTTTTAAAATTCACTTTTTTAAAAAAAATGACATTTCCAAGTGGGACTCTGGAGTGAGAAAAATCTTGAATAATATCTCTTGGCCACAAGAGGGAGCAAAACGTGTGGACCACTTGGTTCCCCAAAGGCATCATCTATGGCGCAGCTGTGCCACGGAACAGTTCTCTTTGGGATCTGTATATGGGCTTTGATCTGTGGCGTTATCATTAACATCTCCACTTAAGGTCTGCACCTCCCGGGGCTGACATCTCTACAAGATGCCTGGATGAAACACACAATAATTATACTATTTATAATAAATAATGGGGCTTTTATTTTCCAAGCAAAATTACCAAACATTCAGCATCCAAAACATACATTCCCATAATATGAGGGACATTATCACCTTCAAAAAATATTGTTCCTTAGAAAAATTTCTTGTCTTGGTTCTTCCAGAAATACCTGCCTAGAATACTTCTTCATATTACTATTAAGAACAAGCATGTAGTAATACAAAACAATAACCATTATACCACTGTACAATACATGGAGTGCACAGCAAAATAACAATAAGGAAGTTTGTAGTTTGCAAAAATATCTTAAAGTGTAAAATGATTAAATGCTTAATGCAAATGCCTGTATCAATTTATTCATTAGTTTTTAAAATAAACTCAAATATGTGTATATATTTACACACATACAGAAATGACTGAATAAATAGATTAAGCTATATATTTTTTTGATATGCAAGGCCAAAGGATGTTTCAAAACAACTGGTTCAGTTCAGAAACTCTTTAATTGTAAAGATGAAAGAGAAGAATGGAGACTGGAGCTGTCATCTGAACAACTCTGCAGTTGGTAAATTGTTCTGATTCTGGAGTGCATCTTAGAGTGAGATATGTACCCAGCAAGCACCTGACAGAGTTCTACATCGACAGCTGATAGGTTTCTCCTGCCAATGCTTTTTACAGCTCAATATATTCATATATATTATACATGTCCTGAAGGAAAACATATTTGAGAGTAATGACATGTCTGTAACAAAAAATTAGAAAAGCATACCTGGGTAATCTTCAGATACATGTACTGAGTAGGATACACTGTTAAAAAAAAAAAAAGACTTACGTTACTGTAAAGGTAGTCATGCTTTTACAAAAAAAATCCCATGTTATCCATTCATTTACACAGATTTAAATACAGATGATAACATCCAAAGCAGATTAGTAATTTGACACAGGAAACCTTAACATTCACTTTTAATGAGTCTAAGTGAATCGTTCTAGAACAACTGTGAAACATCTCTAAAAAGATACTTTTTGGTATAGATAGAACTTTTCACATCAGCAATGTCTAACATTTTCTCTTCTGATCATTTATATTCTCAGATTTCCTCCCATTTAATGCATACGCAAAAAAAAATTATCTTTTTTTCTTGAGACAAGGTCTGGCAGATGGGCCTTGAACTCACTATGTAGTTCAAACTACATAGCACAGCAATCCTCCTGACTCAGACTCCTGGGTACTGGAATTACAAGGGTGTGCCACTATGTCCACCTTACTCAAAACATTAAACATTATTTTTAATATTTAATACTGCTGAGAATGGAATTAATATGAGAAAAAGAAAAAATGGAAAAAAAGACTTTATAGATAGGGAGGTGTGGAGGGGTTGAAGGGAGGGCAGGGGAAGTAGGAAAAAATAAGAACCAAGAGAGATTATGTAAAGGTGCAAATTTCTAATGATGAATGTTATCATATTGTATACCAAAAATGTACCAATATAATTAATAAAAAATATGTTAATAAAAAAATGTTAATAATCTTGCTTCCCCACAATAAGGTATCCTTTTAAAAACTGTCTTTTAAAAAAGAGTAATAGGTCACGTGGAACACGCCAAATCAGCAGAGGACGCTGGACCACCAGACCACGGTACTGGGTCCCACCACTCCTGGCCCAGAGGTAGGGGCTTCTGAGCCACCATCCCACTGCTCCTGATCCAGAGGAAGGGGATTCCTGGCTACCATCCCTCCCGCCCCTCCCGGCCCAGAGGTAGGGGCTTCTGAGCCATGGTCCTACTGTTCCTGGTCCAGAAGAAGGGGCTTCCTGGCCACCAAACGTCCTGCCACTCCTGGCCCAGATGAAGGGGCTTTCAGGCCACCATCCCTACCACCGCTCCCAGCCCCCGGCCCACCTCTCCCAGCTCAGAGGAGGTGATCCTCGCAGGCGCCATCTGCACCCCCACCCCGCCTCCCCCCAGTTGAAATGAGAAAACATGTAAATAAGTCTCAAAACCAGACTTCCAGATCACCTACAGCAACCCCAAAGGGAAATGAGATGGAACCCTC